CCCTGCAACTCCGAATCCCCTCCAACTTCCAGCTAACGGAGTGACCCCCTTGATTCTCCTGGGCGTGCACATTTTTTTTTACACTGACTCCACCCTTTCACTGAATTACAGGGTCTAAACAGGAGATAATGCTTCTCTTTAGATCTTAATGTCCACATACAGTATCATGACAGAAAGAATACAATAGTACAAAGATTGATGTTTAAAAAGGAATTGTAGGGGACCAAACAAGGAATGTGGGGAAATTTTAATTGGCTTCTCCCGTATGTAACTTTGAGCTGCCGTCTTTGTTTTGGCTCGGCACTTTTGTCACAGCTGTATGTCCCCCCACCAAAACACTGCAACATGATTCGCAGACCACTTTCGGATCAAGCTAAAATGATTTCAGCTGGAATGTTACAAGCGGCATTATTGTCTTTGAGAACTTATAAATACTTTCAGAATTAATCTGGCAGCCAAGGTGAACGATACAGACCTGTACAACTATATTTTAATTAAACTTCAGCTGAAAGTCAGCTTTGTTGATGCCCATACCTTTTTGCAAAGTAGCTTAAGCCCAGTCAGTTTGGATAGAGAGCATGTGTGGACGTCAATTTTCAACGTTTGTCACAGATTTGTCTTGTATTTTGTTCTGGACTTTAACTGGGTCGCCATAACACATGAATATGGATGAAAGGGTGGTCTTTCTTTCCAGGGTTGCACTGGATTTAGTTCTATTTAACTTCAAACCCCAGAAACTTGCATTGTTCTTTCAAATATAATACTAATAAAATAAATTCAAGTCTGTAACTGTAATATAACCATGAATATTCCTGAGCAGAGCCATTGACTTAGGAAAGTTTTGCCAAGAAAGTTAGCTTGGTAGGGTCACATTTTTAAGCGCTTTTAAATTACAGAAAAGACCTGTGACTTGGAGGGAAAAAAAAAAAGTTACAAAAAAGCTTAGTTATTTAGAGATTGTACTCCATATTATATTATTTCCTGTTGTTAGGCATGTCAGCTGACTTATAGGTAACGCTTATAGATGTTAATGTTTTTTTGTTTTGTTTTTTTACACGATCAACAACGAGTAGAGCAACATAAATACAATTTTCTACTAACATAATGGGTGTTAAGAATAAGGGAGGTAGTATTATAAAATATTTTCCCCTTTACACTTTATTTATTGTATTTATTGTACTATATATAACAGAGCACGTGACAAAGTGATCAATTTCCAACATATTCTTAATCATTGTTTAAAGCTATGTAGTTGCAGAGAGCATGATGTGATATGTAAGATTTGTTTTCTATTTCCCTGTAGATTAACATGATTAACTAACGTCTATGGCAATGCTAGCGTAAGCAGCTATTCCCCTAAAACTATTTAAGCTTCATTCATCCTCATTTCTTTTTGATATGTTGCCCAGGATCATAAATTTAGTTGTCAGAACTCTTACCTAGAGACCTTACCAAACAGAATAATGCTGTGAATCTAGTGATTTATCATAATAAAAAAAGCAAAAGCAACCATCTACTCAGACTTATCAGGACATGAACCACCTGCACACAGTCATTGTGTCCAACTTGTCCAAGAGGTATATAACTAACAAGTCTGCTTATATCGGATTATATCGCAAACAGGTTTTGAGAAGTAAAGAAAAAAATGGCATTAAAATCCAAAGAAGCATCCAATCCATTTGAGACAGATTCAATTAAGAAATAATTTATTGATCCCAAATAGAAATAAACTGTTGTTGTAAATCTTCAACAAGTTCTTGTAGAATCTAAAAGCTGTACGCAGGAAGGATCTTCTGTAGTGGTCTGCTCTGCAGCGGGTCCTGACTGAAGACAATTTATTTTTGATTTAACTATTAAAGCTGGTTCTATGGTCCGATGCGTTACATAAGAATAAACAACTGTTTTAAAAAGCTTTGAATAATAAGACAAAGTGACGACAAGCTCTAAATAAACATGGTAAAACTTAATCCATATTAGAAAAATTAACAAACAATATAGCAACATAAGTATAGCCAGAAAACTGAGCACAATTGTAACAAAACATTTGACCACACCAAAGCTAAAGGTCAAAGTGGGAGCAACGCTACATGCAGCCTCAAGAAAAACTAGAATAATGAAATATAAATAAACAATGATTCCACCTATCTTAAAATAACTGTGTAGAATAATCAAGCCTCCTAAAGTGTCCTGCAACATTCCTCCGACACAAAGCATCTCACACATCCATCATATTTTCTGCAGCAAAAGTCAGTGGTTCTAGTAGAGCCGGTCTTAATGCAGGTCAACCTGACAGGTTTGAGAAAACAGACAGTTAAAGGAATAGTACACCCAAAACATGATTAGCCTTCATTTTCTACTCACCCCCATGCTGAACAACACTCTGGAGTACTTTTTTGAT